GTAGCCAGGATCTGGAATGGGCTTTCAAGAGAGGTGGTGCTATCACCTAGCTTGGAGGTCTTCAAGAAGAAGCTAGATAGTCACCTGGCTGGGGTTGTCTGACCTCGGTCCTCTTTCCTTGCCAGGGGCAGGGGGTCAGACACAATGATCCATTGTGGTCCCTTCCAACTCTACAATCTATGAACATGCTATACACGCAAGCAATTTATAGTGCAACAAAAATCACAGACCAGCCAAAAGATATTCTACATCTAATGGATGTGGAACATCTTTGTAGTTGATTTGCATCACACTTGAATCCGAACATGTGACAAACAATACAGGCAAGAAAAATTTAAGAGTTCATGAGAAACTAGTCTACATTTGAATTTCACTTGTTACACAGATGCTTTTGCATTGAGCTCAGTTTCTTTCTTATGTACTCCCTATTACTCCTGGTTGTACCCCCATGGACTGCAAAAAATTCTTCTCAGATCTTGATATTTATATCTTAAAAAAATCCCCCCCAAAACTTCAAGGTTATCACTATTTCATTTCAAACCACTGCCTGCAAAATTATCACTTGTCCAAGCAGACATACCATATTTACTGAGATCCAAGACAACTTCAAAATTAAGATGACCACCTCAACCCATTAGATTCTATACATGGAAAATTACAAATTAGCTATGATTTTCCATGAATAGAATCTAATTAGTAGATAGTCATCTTAAAAACTCATGTCCTCTCCTTGCCCCTTCCCCCCCATCCTGCAGTGGCAGGGAAAGCAGTGCTCCTTATCTCTGTGCCTGCCCCTGCCCCTCGCTATGTGCCCTCTTGCCCCTCCATGCCTGTGGCCCCCCCTCCTTCATCCATCGTTCCCCCCTGCGGCCTGCCCCTCCTCTCTCTCCCCCTTGCTCCACTACCTGTTCATCCTACCTTACCTTCTGCTGCAGCTCTGCTCCTCTGGGGCAACATCAGTAGCATCAGCCCAGCCCCACCAAGAAGCAGTGGCAGCTTCCGGCTGGGCCAGATCAGGGCTGGAGGGACCTGAGCTGGAATGAACAGTAATGGGGAGGAGAAGACAGCTGGAAGTACAAGGTGAAGGGGGCAGGCAGAGACATAAAGGGAGACAGGCTGCAGTTTTCCTCCTCTCCCTAAGGTCTCCCCCATCAAACAAGCCATTCTAGCCTGGGGCAGGCAGCAGCTCAATTCCAGCATCAGTCCTGAGCTGCGGCCAGAGCCAAAGCAAAGCTGCCACCTGCCCTCGGCAAGTACTTGAATCCAAGATGAGGCTTTCCCCCCATGTTGATTGGGAGGGGGAACCCTCTCATCTTGGATTTGAGTAAACATGGTTTTTCATTTAAATTTAAACAAAACAAAACAAAAAATCAAGAATTTAAGCCTAGCTATGAATTTGTGCCATAAATCAACCTCAGCTAACCTAGTTGTAAAAAAGGTACCTGCTCATTTGGCCTGGGGAATTAAAGTTGCTTGGATGCCATATTAGCCACACCACTCCCCTGTACACTATTTACTACAGAAACTGGTTTGCTTTTACAATGGCCTGATGAACCTTTTAGGCTCGGGTAAACCTGTGCCCTTTTTAATTCCATTTTCCTTCTAGGAATGTGTTTCTTCTATCGTGCTCACAGTAAGAAAATTCTACAACTAATGTTTGATACCCGACTAATAAAACCACCCAGTTCATATCAATTACCTAGTAAAGCACCCAGTTGGGTCCTTCCTTTTGGGGCCTTTGTAGTCCCTACGGGCATTATTTCAAATTTGCAAAGTCAGTTTTTCCACTTGGTTAGTTGAAGCCCATCTCAGAAATGAATTGCTCAGAAATGAGTAATGAATACTCTTACCCTTTACCTCCATTTTTGCAGATCTGAAAGACATCCACATTGGTATGTGAGTGCTCAAAACAAATGCATATTCTAAATCTCATTTCACAAAAACTATCAAGAGAAACTCTTGGGATCTTGCTTAGTGGCTATTGCTTCCTCACATTTGGGCCCAAATTACACTTTTTCTATGCTATTTCAAACTGATCCATCAGATTTGCTGTTCTACTATCCACCTTTAAGGCTCTTCTGAGTCATGGGTTGCCAGGCTTTTCTCTTCCGTTAAATAAGCATATATTAGGACTCTCTCCAAAGATCATTTTTAATTTTCCCATTTCTTCCTCATCTCTCTAGGCTCATTGTGTTTTATTTTCTTGCTTTCAGTGATATTTGCAGCTCCATCCAATTTCATTAATATGCTGGTCATCATCATTTCCAGGTTGTTAACCAAAGCAAACAAGAACAGACCCAACTTTAGATACCTTTCCAATAAAGTGTGATGCTAATATTTGCCTGAATCTATTTTCAATCCATGCATATGTTATTATCCAAGCAGAATTCAACTTTATTCACAAGTGGAGATCAGAGATTTTAAGAACAGAGCAAAATACATATTTTGCTTAAAAACAGGGGACCTATTTTGCAATTCATGCAATTGAGAAAAATGCAGGAATTCTGACCTCCCTGCACACCCCCCAGCAAAGATGAGATTAACTTTACACCTTTTGGGTATCACCTTAGTTTTGGGTGTCAGCATAGGATGTTTGTACAATAAATGTGCCTCCAAGGTGCTTTAAAGGCCATACAACAGCACCAATCAAGCACCCTGGAGACAGGTTATATATAGCAGTCCTGGCAATTCTGTTCCTATCCTTTTATTTTGAAAGTACTTGTTCTATAGGCACAAACTCAGACTTTATTGCCATACAATGGAGATGGTCTATTGTGGGGACTGCCAACCTGTGACGTGCCACAATGGCATGAGCAACCTGTGTGACACATGGCAAATCAGATACGGAACAGGCAGCACAGCAACAGATAGGGCAGGGAGCAGAAAGCAGAGCTACAGATCAAGCAGGGGAAGGGGATCAGAGTGGCACTGGGGAGGGTTGGGCAGCAGGGCTAATTTGTGACATGCTTGCAAGGTTGCCCCAATTGATCTATTGTATTGATAAGAAAACATCTTCTTTGTTAGCATTTCCTTTTCTGACTCCCTGCTGGCCTTGCATACTACTGAACTGTTAACACAGTGGTGTGGTAGGGAATACTTTTCCTATCCTCCACACAAGGACATGGTAACATGGTCCCACTTGCATAACTGCAATATGATGGGCATCCTTTCTACTTCTCCATAATTTATTAAAACCCTGTTGAAAACTTTTTTTTAAGCTAATTCCTTTGATACTTTTGGAAGCACATCATCCACCACTATCATTTAAGAGATGCACAGCTTTTAGAATGGTTCCATTTCCTTTCCTTTTGCCATCAGTAGCTACTGAAAATTACCTTGATTTCTCAGTAATTATAAGACAGACGGGGAAAAAAGGAGTTCATTATTTCCACAGTCTTGATCTCTCCCATTACCTTCATTGCATTTCTCTTTTATTAATGAATTACTTGCACTCACTAGATTTGTAAAAGACTTATTGGTCTGCTGAAGAGTCTACTGCATGGATCTCAGTACTCTGAAACCTCACAACGGGAGATGGAAAAGTGGAAGCGGCAGAAAAAGCGTATTGTGGACCAAATAAAAAAAAACCAGTACCACCTACCCCACATGGAAACATGTTCAAGCTACAGTAGAGTCTGTCGGTAGGCTTCATCGGCCATCTTCGGACGCAGATAAGACAATCATGGAAGACAAACATCTTCGATTGAGAGGGATTGCCAAAGATTTATACAAATCCCCTGGCTAGCATTAAATTATCATCATCATCATCTATAATCTCCCCCCACACCAAAAGCTTTACTAAATTCTACTCTTATTCTCCACTGCTTTTTGAATCAGATCTTTCAAACAGCAACTTATTAATTATACTGACTGCTTTTGGTTGCTTGCATCTCTCGTTTACAGAAGAATACTGCCTTTTGATTACTACTGCATCTTCAGTGACGCTCCAGTCACATTCTACACTGGTTGATTTTAACAAGCCTTCCACTGCACTTCACCCCTACATTTCTAGCAAGTTCTGTGAAATTTAAGAACAGCAAATATAAAGAGGGACAGATGGCAGAAAGGTTTATGATGCGAGTGTTTTCAAAACAGATATATAGGGGATTTGCATTTATGAAGGTTGGAGTTTGAGGAAGATGGAGATTATTAAGGAGGAAACTGGCTTGGCATATCTGTAATTTACCTGTGAACTCTTCAGGGCTCACTCAACAGGGCTCTCCTGCACAGTAATTTATGTTAGAGTTTACCCTGCCTTCCAGCCTTCTCTTTGCATCTCTATAGCTGCTATGTGGCTAGATTTAGCCCACAGGCTCCAGGTTTCCACCACCTCATATAGATTAAATTAAGAGTACGTGGATAGGAAGAAAAGGGATCATTTAAAAACCCCCTATCTTACTTTAAGCATAGTCAATTATTGATAACACATCTTTAATGAAAGATTGTTTCCCAAAATACACACACCCTCTCCCCTCACACACTAAGCAACAGTGGAAAGAAGTCTACACTGTATCAAAATTATAGTTCCTCTGCTGGACACCTCTACTGTAGACAGTAACCAAACAACAAGGAAGCATCACTTTAGACAACCCCTGGGCACAAACATGAAGAAGGTTGCTTGTAATTATGTTCATAATACTATTTATGCATAACTCACACTTTGAGGTAAGCAACAAAAGCAGCAGCTTCTCCAGCTGGGACACAAAGCACAATTAACCAAATAAGATCTCTTTATTTTGGCACCATAGGCAGTAAATAAAAATATACAAAAATATGTATGAAAGTGGCAGTGACACAGACCTTGTGCAGCCCTAAAGAAGTTCCCTGTAGCAGAAAGGAGAACTATATCAAATACACTGTACAATACTGCATTATTTCTGGGAGAGTACTTAGAAAAAATCTTTTACATCAAAGGAGGAAGAATAGCAACCTATTGCTTGCTATTTTGGCTGGAGGATAAGAGGCCAATTGGCAGACAAGGTCCTTGCTGCTCTGCCCCTCAGCTGTTTCAAGGTAAATAAGATGCATGCCGAATCCCTCTGAGATGAAAGAGTAGTTTCCATACTTGCTAGGCAGAGTAAGGAGGAAGGAAGCCTCCAGATATAGCTGCCTCTTCACACTTTGTGTGTCCACCTACACTTTAAAAGAATACAAATAAATATAGAGTAACTTTTTTTTTTAAGTTCCTGGACAAATGTGAACACAAGCTGAAAGGCATCTAACAAGTTGCTGTGGAGTGCAGAAGATACAGACTCAGGTATACAGACCCTAATCCAGCACTTCTGTGTTGGGGTTTGCCCTGAAGTACAGGGCAAGCATCTTTACACATGCTCCGGGGGAGGGGGTAGAGGGTGGTTGTGGGGAGGTGCTTTAATTAGAGTGCCTCTTGGGAGCCGCTCTAATTAAAAGTGCCCGCAGTCTCGTGTATTCAGCATCCTGTGCTTCAAAATGGTGGCAGGGCACTTTAGTTAAAACTTGTTAGCATGTTTCAGCAGGCTTGGTGGCTCATGTATTCAGTGTCCCTGTGCTTTAAAATGATGGCAGGTGCATTTCAATTAAAGCTCGTTCAACAAGCTTTAATTGAAGTGCTCCCACCACCATTCTGAAGCACAGAGACACTGAATACGAGGCACCAAGGCTGCCGAAGCATGTTAATTAGCGTGCTCCAGCAGGCTCAATTAATCAAGTCTGATCTGACACGCTGTAATTACAGTGCATCAGAGCAGGCGTCCCACATGTTTACAGGCACCCAAAGGGTGTAAAACGGCCTTTTATCTACACTGTCACACCCCAGGACATCTTCTGAAGTGGAAGATAATGAAGGGCAAAAATTACAGTACTTAAGAAGAGAATGCATAGATAGTTTCCAAGCAGTGGCAGATTAGGCCAATGTTTCCCAACCCTTTCCAGCCCAAGGCACACTTACATTAATAACAATTTTCCATGGTACACCTGTTAAGGCATTCCCCATCCTTATACCTATTGTAGCTCATCGCCATGGGAAAATTCCTCAGCACACCTTTTGTGCCATGGCACACTGGTTGGGAAACACTGGATTAGGCCACTGTCTCTCCAGCTAGCCAGCTGTGGTGACACTTGGCAGTTATTTTAACAATTAAAGTAAATAACCCAAGATGCCTCAAACGAAAGAGCAAAGCTCATTTAGAAAAGATAGCCCTGGTTCTGAAATGTTGTCCTTTTTAATTTAGAAGAGATGAAAATCCCATGTGACAAAATAACCCAGGCGGTGGCTTAGTTTAGATGATGAGGGCAGCTCTTTCTTTACAAAGAAAAAAATTACATGTTTTAATATATGCTGAGGAATCTATCAGTATGGCACAATTTAGAGACTCCTCAGAAATCCTAGTCAAGTGGTTGAATGGTCAAAAAAGCCACAAGAAATAAATCACCTGTTATAACCAAATGTAGCAAAGCTGTTCTCCCCATACACTAGCTCAGGGGCGAGCAATTATTTTGGGTGGAAGGCCACTTACTGAGTTGTGGCAAGCCATCGGGGGCTGCATGGGGGAGATAAATATTACATTTTTAAAATTTTTTAGGGGCCCCGCGGGCTGGACACAATGGCCTGGCGGGCCGCATGTGGCCCATGGGCTGCATTTTGCCTACCTCTGCACTAGTTCATATCTCGGACTAAGAAGGGAAGAGAGGCTAGAGCTCCTCATCAAAAAGCTGCTTCTGAAATAGATTTCAAAGACTACCACCTTCATATTTAAAGTCCTCATCAAAATTTTTTTTCCTGATAACCTGAGTTTTGGTGCATAATTCCCTTCTGGCTACAGACAAATAAATTGACACAAGTTATCAGAGACACATTTTTAACAGAGAAGATGCAAGCTAAAACTGGGTGACTATAGAAACAAAATCTTCACCATGGATTTACAACGGTGACTTCATTAAGCTGGGAGACCTTTTCTCCCACTAAAAAGGAGATGGGGATCCTTCAGTATCCTTTATAGCTTCTGATTCTGCTGCATGGAAAACTGGGCAAAAGGACATTTTCATTTTTAAAAAGGCATAAAAAATACACAGTATTGTAAAAAATTAAAAACAAACAGACACAACTTTTTCAAAATGTACATGAATAGCCTGTTCCAGAACACCCTAACCAGAGAACTCTCCTAACAAGCTAGAAAGGGACACTTCTTGTTTGGGCACCTACAGCACAGGTCATGACTAACAATAACATGATGTGGCCATCCGTCCCTGTGAAGCAACTTTGGCAGTACAACCCTCTGAAGAACAGCAAGATTAATTCCCAGGGAGATAGCCTGGAAACAGGTAAAGATCCCGGCAGAGTGTGCTACAGTACTCAGACATCTCCTTACAGCGATGAAATTCTGTGCCTGGGGCATAACCTTCTCGGTGCTTAATCATTCTATTCACCTAAGAGGGAGAAAAAACTATTGAGAGATTTAACAAGCAAATGAACAAAAACAACACAGAGCTAAGGAAAAGTGTCGCCCCTGAGATGTAAATCATACAAGCCCCAACACAGAAATCAAAGTTTGCACTCTCTCTCTCACTCTCTTATACACACACACAATTAAGGCAGCAGAAAGAATTAGTTCGAAAAGCTATCACAATACAGCCTAGTAGGAATTCTGTAGAGAATAGTACACAAAAGCAATAGCTGTAGGGGGTCCTATTCTATACATTCCCAATCCTCTACTAATATGGTATAACTATTCCATAGGGCCCACTGGGCTACTGGAAGATGCAAGATGAGGACAGGGATAAGGCAGGGGTTCCCAAACAGTGGTACGCATACCCCTGGCAGTACACAAGACCCCTCTGGGGTGGGGGGTATGCAAGAGAAATGGCGTAACGGCAGATTTAATTTTCATTATAATTGTCATTTAAGGGGTTAAAACATATGCTAGTAGGGGTACACAGGCAGCTGGTAAATCTGGAAGGGAGTATGCAATAAGATAGAGTTTGGGAACTGAACTGCCATCTGCTACCAGTCCTGCAGATCTGGCCTAGGAGGAGCACTGAGGCCTTACCTGGCCTACAGCAAGTTTGACACCTCCAGTATAAATATCTGTTTAGCGTGTAGCATAGCCCCTAAACCATCAAGAAGCATAAGGCACTGCAGAAACCAGGCATATATGAAAGAGGGGAAGAAAGGTGCCTCTCTCACCTTCACCAGCATGTCAGCCACGTGAGTATTATGGGAATCCTCAGCAAATACAGAGGTGAGAGCCTCAATATACCATGACCCACGCTTGGTGTTCCGCATGGCAGCTGTGCCTGAGAACAGAAAAGGTGTCAGCTCAAGGTTAAAGCCAGATAACATGGAGAATTCAGGATAAGAGAAACCCTAGCAGATGCACAGAGGGAGATTACAGGAGCCCAAGGGTTGGCATCAAGCACCTGCAAGCAGTTGACAACATCACAGGCTTATCCCCATACCTTTTAAACAGGCATATCCGCAAATCATGTCAGAGCACGTGGGCAAACGCAACCGGGGATTCTCTTCCTTGTTTGCATCACTTTCCTCATAGCCTGGAGAATCAGAGCGTTCTTTCCCATCCCTTTGATCCACTCCCCGGTCAGTCTCATCTGGAAAGGGGGAAAGAAACAAGTTGAGAAATAAGTCACTCTTAACCATGTTTTTCAGCATCCCAGCACTCCCAGAGCCAATCTAGTAACAATTTTCTTTGTCCAGGACCCAATCTCTCAGCTGCTGGTGCAAAAAAGGATTTTCCTCTACAACAGAGGCCTTCTGTACCAACTCTTTAAATCTCATACGGAAATAGCTTTGTTACAATATTCAAATGCTCCTTACTTGATTGTACTTTAAGCAAATTTTAACTGCTGCAATATGACACTCACTAAAACCGTAGTTTTAGATTACCCCTGATGATAATATCCTATTTACCGTCTACATAGTACAGTAGAGAGCACTTAGGCTATAGTGTTCAAATTGTAATCAAAACCTTAACTCCTGCCCTCAATCCCAGAACCAGATGTTTCTGTTAAAAGTTTATAAAGTTGATGGGTCTGAGATGAAATCCATCTATAGAATAGATGCAATCAGGAATAATCAGCATTGGTTTTACACAGGTTGTCTATACAAATAACAGAAATTAGATTTTTTTTTTTTTTAATTCAGTTGAGATCAGTGATGCTCAAGCTTTTTTGCCCCACAGGCCAGGTAAGTGGTCCGGGGCTGGTCTACAGCCAAAGGAAACCCCATGGGCCCTCAAGCTCTCAGCTGGCCACTGCACACTGGGACGGGGCCCTGGGGCCCAACACAGTCCCTGCACACTGGGATTGGATGCCCAATGCGAAGCACAGGGCATGGGGCTTCTCACAGGTCCAGAAATTTGAAAGTGGGGGAGCAGTGGCACTACTCCCTTGCTGCCAAATTTCCAGACTTGTGGGAAGCCCTAAGCCAGATGTCATTGCACCAGGGACGAGATCTAGCCCGCAAGCCAGGGGTTGAGCACCCCTGGTTTATATGCATCACAGATGCCAGAAAGAGCTAATGTACTAATTAGCTAATGATTCACTACCCTGAATCAGCTCTGTAAGGACTTGTACATTTGAAGCCACCTACTCAAAGTATTTCCCCCCCCCCCTCACACTGATCTAAACATGATGGGCAAAGAAGAAAAAAGTGGGGGATTTTTTTAATTCTTTATATGTATGGAGACTTGGTTCTCTTTCCCAGAAGTTTCCATGGCTCCTGCTTTTTTTCCTATTTTACAAATTTCACTGGCAGGAATTTTAGAATGACAGTCTATTTCTGTAATTTGAATCAGTCTGATGTCCATCTAGTCCCATACCTGACTATGGCCAATACCAAATGCTTCAAAGAAGATGCAAGGACTCTGAGGTTGGCAAATGAGGATGTTCTGCCCCCTACATGAAATTTTCATGCCAGTTGCTAATATTTAGAAATTGCCTTAAACCCTAAAATGGCATTTAATAGCCTTTCCACAATCTGTTAGCACCGTTATGATGGCTTTGAATAATTCCCAGTATCAGTAACTGTACAATCTCCATATTAATCCAAGTTCCTGGTGACTGAAAAAAAATCTTCCAATAAGAATGAGTACTAGTCTTGTCATGCATGAAAAATAAACATTCCTCATTTGGTCTCAAATTCTTTATCTTTGTGTCACTGTGCCCCTCTGTCTTATGTTGTGGTGAGACTGGGAGACAATTTTTCACTCTAGCTTGTCCCAACTATTATTGTACATCTATTTATCCTGTTCCTTCTACACTTATTTTTAAAGTAACAATACATATCTTTTTAGTTCCTCCCAAGCACTTTTCCAAGCCCTTTTTCATTCTATCACTGTCGTTTTGGAGTGTCTTTCAGACAGTGACCAATACTTCACATATCGCATTTATCACTGATTTACTACAAGTCATTATAATACAACAGACAAGGAAGAAGATGTCCTGAAGAAAAATACACTGCATTTGAAAGCTTGTCTCAGCCTAACTTAACTGTTCTGTTGGTCCGTTAAAACATATGATCCACTAAAATCTTTGCCTCTAAATTTCCTGGACCATCACTTCAACACTACAATATTATCCATAATTTTTTTCACCTTATTCTGTATACAAACTACCATCTCATTTGCTTTTTGACCACGAATGCATATTAAACAAAAGTTCCTTTAATGTATATAGTTAATTTAGAACCATGCAGGATGCACATAATTTATATTTTCCCCTCCAGATACAATGTTATGCATTTACCAACATGAAATGTCATTTGCCAGCAAGCCATTTGCCTATTCACCCAGTTTGTTTGGTTCTCTCTGGTCCCAACTAAACTAACTGTTGTTTGCACCTTTTGCCACCCACCTCACTTCTCACCCTTTTCCAGATTACTGCCATATTGAAAACAAAACTTCAGACACAACCTTGAAGCTCCTATTCTTACCCCATTACCATGTGGTATCTCCATCCTTGGAAGTTTTTAATAGCAGGTTAGATAAGCACTTGGACAACATGGGTTAGATGGAGAAAATCCTGCCTTGAGCAGGGAGCTGCACTGGATTACTTTCTGAAGTTCCTTCCAGCTGTAATTTTTCTAGGAAAAAAATTGACCACTGTACTTTGTTCCTGTCTGTAAAGCTGTCTTTGATCCACAACACTTTGCCTCTCACCTTGAAACAGATTCATAGTATTTTGTGGCGGACCTAGGTAAAAGGCTGTTTGAAAGTCTAAATAAATTATATTAACCAACTTCCCCCTATCCACTACCTTAATGACATGTTCAAAAATTGAAACAGAAGAGCAAGACAGTATTTATTTGAAGAATTTATCTTCTAGGGGCTCTGTTGTTCTGCTTTTAATTATTGTTTCAGACAATTTGCTTCTACAAATGTATTTAAGTCCTTTATAAAAATAGTATTATAGAATCATAGAAAAGTAGGGCTGGGAGGAACCCAGACAAGTAGGGCTGGATCTAGTCCCACCTCCTCTTCGAGACATCTGAACTATGCTTAAGAGAGCTAAGGAATAGGACTATACCCCACTGTTACCAAGGAAGACAAAACCCACAGAGTCTATGCCAATCTGACCAGGTGGCGTAAAATTTCTCTCCAATTCTAAATGTGGCAATGCAAATAGATGCAACCTCTAATACACTCCAGTTCTGTAAAGCTGTGAAAGAGCATATTTTTTTGCAGCCCAGTTAACAAATATTTAAAACTAGGGATGTCAAAAATATAGTCCATGGTGCCTCTTTATTCAAACTACTGGGCTACCAGAGGGCACTGAAGTCGGACCCTTTGGTTGAGCAATAAACTTGGTCCCATACACTCTTGATGCCCCTGCTGGGCTCTGTGTTCCAGCTACTACTGGACACTGCACCTTTCCCACTCCCTTCCCTACTAGACCCTGAGCTCCTGCTACTGCCCTTGCCATAGTGGCCACTGAGTCTGGATCCAGCCCAGGGCCTCAAGTGAGTTTGAAACCCTGCTTTAAACTGATGCTGACCTTTCTTCCAACTGTTAAGCAGATGCTTACAATGCCAACAAGAGCCAGAAAAAGAGGATTTACACAGACTAAAATGCTTTTTTTTTTTTTTTTGATCGTTCAGATTTCATTCCCTTGTGTGCTGTAAATGCACGAATCCCACCAACCCTACATTTCCTCAAGCAAGAGCAAAGAGAAAGGGAAAGAAAAATTAAGTAAAATAAGAGAGCCTTCAGGACTTTGCCACACCATAAATACTGTATATGCTTTTAACTTCATTTGCAGACTGTCAAGCTGCATTTTTACTTTTAGGAGCACCAGTTGGTAATGGGGAAAGCTACATTCACGCAAAAATGTTTACTGTAAATATTCTGCAAAAGTGCTACAATAATCAAATCAAGTCCTCAAAGTCTCCCATACATGTATTTTAAACACTACTGAAGTCTAGCTAAGTTTTTTCAGAGACTAACATTTTTCTAAATTTCAGTTAAACACTTAACCAACTCAAAACCAGTTCAATAAAATGCACCTTTTTTGCCCAAGTAAAAACCACAAAGATTTAGTACAAGTGGAAAACTTGTAAGGAAGCTACCCCTCCTTCACAGTTGCTTACAGAAACTAGAATGGATAGATATTTCAGGCTCCAACACAGAAAAACAGCTTGCATAACAGATGGCTTAGAAAAGCTGTTTTGTCTCAGCAGCAGTGCCAAAAAAGAAGCAGGCATTTACAAAGAATGGGTTAGGCAGAAGTAAATCTACATACTGTATAGCCATGTTAGAGTTTCAAAGATGACAAAAGATAAATAGCATGGAGATAAGGTGCAATATGGACAAAAGAGAGCTACAAGATTAAAAGGAAATGGAAAAATAGGTACCAAGAGAAGACAACAGATGTGAGTGGTGAAAGGAAAGTGCTCCAGAGACAGGTGTGAGTCTGGAAGCCAGCAAGAAAGTTAAGGCAAGAGAAAGCCCGAAGCTGGGGCAGGACATGATAGAGCTCCCCATTCCCATGGTGCTGTGGGGTCTGTGATTCAATGTACACACCCCATGCAGAGTGAAAGACACTTACAGAGCAACAGAGGCTGTGGCAGCAGCAAGGCAGAGGGAGATGAATGTGGGTTCCGCTTACACCTGAGAGAAGCAAAGAGGAGAGTTGACAGGAAGTTGGGTGCAAGGGTGTATGCATGTGAAAGTCAGCCTTCATGGGGTGTCAAGTACTTAGCCCTTGTCATCCCTGGCGTCACTTACCTCCCCGACAGGCCTGAATAAAGAACATTTTAGGCTTATTCTGGAGGTTCAGGCAGTTCGCGTTGTCAAAAAGCCTGAAAACTTCCTGCAACTAGAAAAGAAAAGAAAGGAGCTTAGTAGTTTCCCCCTTCAATACTATGCTAACATCACATCCTCCTAACCTCACATCTCCCATTCACTCTACCTATTTTCATATCTCTTACATGAGACTCCTCCAGTATGACAGGAGCTTCAAACCTCTTTGCAAATGCTCCCACCCTGTCCAACGCTTTCTTCTCAGTGCAACTTCCCAAAGCCAGATATTGAGGGTTCATTCAGAAAAAAGGAAAGTACCTGCAGTAATTTGCCATCAATTCCATAGACCCCACCCTCCACACCATGCGAGAGTAGGGCTACAATGCAGGAATCCACTTCCTGGTGAGTTGGCTTCTGAGAAAATTTCTGTAATGTCTCCTGCATCTCCTGAGGAAAGAAAATACACTCAGTGATACCAAGAGCCATGTGTGCATCAAGGAAAAGGGGGGACAGAAATGGCAGGCAGCAAGGCCCAGACACTGAGGGGAAAGCCAAGCAAATCATAAACCGAACTGGGGGGAGGAAGGAAAGAGAAAGAAGTGTTTTGCGTTTAAAGAACAAAATAGTGTTATTACCTTGCATCAAGGGAAGCCGGGGGGGTGGCTGAGAAAGTAGCAAGGTCCCAAATACTGAAGAGAAATACAAAGACAAGCAAATCACAAATCAAATACAAAAGGGGGGGGGAAATAGGGGTTTTGCTTTAGATGAACAAAAAAATACTGTTATTTCCTTGTCATCTTTCATTTCAAAGATCTCAAAATATTTTGTAGACCATATACAGTAAACAGGAGTTCAACAGCTATAGAAATTTAAGCAACTTAGTCATGGGACACAAAATACATTTGAGATTATATTCAGC